AAAGCTCTAGGACATCTCCAAATGTGCCAACATCTGAATCATAAGGATGCCAGAAGGAGAAGAGGAAAAGCAAAAAATTGAAAACTTACTTGAAAAAATAATTAAAGAAAATGTCCCTAATTTTGTAAAGGAAAAAGACATACAAGTTCAAGAAGCACAGAAAGTCCCAAAGAAGTTGGACCCAAAGAGGACCACTCCAAGACACATAATTAAATTGCCAAAAGTTGAAGAAAAAGAGAGAATCTTAAAAACAGCAAGAGAAGAGAGTAACCTACAAAGGAGCTCTGTCAGCTGATTTCTCAGAAGAAAATATTCATGCAAGAAGGGGCTGGCAAGAAACATTCAAAGTGATGAAAAGCAAGGACCTACAACTGAGATTACTCTCTCCAGCAAAGCTGTCATTTAGAATGGAAGGGCAGATATAGCACTTTCCAGAAAAGGTAAATCTAAAGGAGTTCATCATCACTAAGCCCTTATTATATGAAATATTGAAGGGACTTATTTAAGAAATAAGATCAAAACTATGAACATTAACATGACAACAAACACAACTATCAACAACTGAATCTGAAAAACAAAAACAAACTAAGCAAACAACTAGAGCAGGAACAGAATCATAGATATGGAGATCTCCTGAAGGGTTATCAGTGGGGAAGGAGAGGAAGAGAATGGGGGAAGAGGTGCAGAGATTAAGAAGCACAAATTGGTAGGTGCAAAATAGGCAGAGGAATGTTAAAAACAGTTTAGGAAATGGAGAAGCCAAAGAACTTATATGCGCAACCCATGGACATGAACTAAAGAGGGGAGTTGTTAGAAGGAAGGGGGCTACTAGGTGGAAGGGTGCAAGGGGGGAAATTGGGACAACTGTAAAAGCATAATCAGTAAAACATTAAAAAAAGAGAAAAAGAAGATTAAATTAGAAAGTGTATGCAGCCCTATAAGAATTTGTGTCCCTATTTGTGTCCAGGTTTGTGTGCCCCATTGCTAGTACCATGGAATTTATCACTGTACAAAGAAAGCCCAAATGGTGTGAGCATTTAACATGTAATTTCATCTCCAGGGCATTTCATCTTAACTCCTCTCCTGTGTAAGTAGCTTACAAGGTTAGATTTTTCCAGAGGGTTAACTATTTGAGCATGGTGGTTGAGCAGCAGCAGCCATTTCCTCCAATTTCTTTAAAGTGAATATAGCTTTGTGAAGAAGAATGAAGTGAAGACAAGTGGTTAGTTCAGTGGCTTTAAAAAAAATTGCAGCTTTTCATACTTTGAGTTTACCATAACCAAAAAGGCCACTGGGCTGACATTAATGGTTCTAAGTCAGAGCAAAAAGAAGAAAACAATTATTTAGAGTTGAAAGAAGGTTCAGGGGTTACCTCTGCCAGCTTGCACTTCACAGATGAGGAGAATGAGGTCAGGAAGACTGCATCTCATCTTACCCATGTTGACTTAACCAATGAGTGCCAGAATGGAATGAAAGGGCTATCTCCAGACTGATCAGCCTGCACACAGAGACTGATTCTGAAATATGAATGCAACAGCCAGCCAAATACCTATAGACTAAGAAAAAGAACAGTTGGTCGGAATGTGTCCTTGGGCAAGACATTTGGACTTCAGTGGACCTCTTTGGTCTCTTCCTTATCTGTAGAGTCAAGCTAAATATTGCCTGTCCTGCCCACCATGCAGTTTTGGTTGAGATCAAATGAGATAAAGTCTATGAAACTTCCCTAAATGTTGAACCACAACATCATGGTAATAATCTTGATTTGTTGAACATTTAAGATGTGCCAAGCATTGTGCTAAGCATCATTTATTATCACAGCACACTAGGAGGTAAGAAAGCCATTGCCTTCATTGTATATGGGAAGGTAAGACTTTGGATAAATAGTGCATCCATGATCTCACAGATTTGAAACAGGTCTAGCTGATGCTCATGCCCAAGCATTTAATTATCAATAATACTATGTCAATAATATTAATATACCATATCAGTAATATATCAATAATATTACTGTAATAGTAATAATACTATAATGTTATATAATAATACCATATAATATATATTCCTATAGTATACTAGTATTTACTATGCTGGTACTATATTACTATGTTACTATAGTACATAGTATAGTAATATATATTGCATAGTCATATTACTATTTATGTAATAATATAATAATGCAAGAATAGTATAATACTACCACCATATCAGAAGCCATGGTCAATGGTAGTAATTAACATTGTGTACTTATATAGCCGAAGAGCAATAGGGAAGATATTTATCCTATATGGACTACATCATAAGAACAGAACATTTTTAGTATTTTCCTAATTTCTTGCAAATAATTAAAAAAGGATTGTCATTTAAACTTTTTCAGGGATATAGTTGCATTGGTTTTAACATGCCCTGGCCGGTGTGGCTTAGTTGGTTGGAGTTTATACTCCTGTAAACTGGATGGGGCCCATGCCTAGGTTGCAGGTTCGATGCTGGTCAAGACAATTGATGTTTCTCCCATTGATGTTTCTCTCTCTCTCTCCCACTCCCTTTCCCTCTCTCTAAAGTCAGTAAGCATGTCCTCTGGCGAGGATAAAAAATTGTAGCCACCCTATCCCTTTAAAGGATGAAATTAGAAAATAGTTTTATCCCAAACAAGGTCTTTATCACTTATTTTTTGTGTCTAGTATGGGTTTTTCTAAAATATTTTTCTTGCATGTGAATGTGTAATTTTAGAAGATTAAGTTTTAACATACTGAGTTAAGTAAATTCAGCATACAGTCTCTATGATAAACGTGATTGGAACTACTTTGTTCAAACTGGGCTCCCTGTGCAGCAGCACTTCAGCATTGGGACAGTTCACTGAGATAAATAATCTTCTCACAGAATGTGAGCAGCCTTTGTAACTGACTTCCTATTTGTTTTCACTTTTTAACAAGTTGTGGCATTTGAAGAAAGATATCTAGTTCTTTACTAAAGAAAATTAATTTTCTCAAATGTGTGGGGGCTGGGTAAACTTAAAAAATGTTTGTTTATTTTTAACTATGACTAGATATAAAAGTGTTTGGTGAGCAACTGGCAGTGCATACCTAGTTACTCCCTCCCCAGCAGTAATGAGGACATCAAGAGTTTTAATGATTAGAATATATTATTGTTTGTACTCACCTCATCATAAAAAATCACTTATAGTAGATCAATATGTCAAATGAGTAAGCCAGAAGATGGCGTTGAAGTTTAGCAATCACACAAGGTAGACTGGTAAAGTCTCAGAAAGTTTCATACAATGACTGTTGTTTTGAACTTCTAAAAGTAGATGAGTGAGAAAAAAGTTGAAACTAACTAAACCTGGTACTGAGGACACATGTACGAAAGTATGAAAAGCTCTAGTTTGCCATTTTTGTTCTTAGCAATCTCTTTCTGTCTGTTGTTTATGAACACTTTGGGGAAAAAGAAACTCACAGACCAAAATGTAATGCAACATGAAGACAGTGTTCTTTGCTTTGTTTACTGAAATATTGCAAGTTCCTTAAACAGTTCCTGACAAGTAGTAGGTGCCCAAAATGTATTTGTTAAATGAATGAATCTGTGAAAGGACAAGAAAGGAAGAACAGGTTGTGACCAGAATTTTCTTTGAACAAAAACCTGTTGTTTATTACATAGATTCTGATAATGGAAAATTTACTTGGGTGAATAAAAGTATGTCATCCTGTTAATTTCTGAGAAAGTCCATGCGTTTTAGGAAAAGTGTACCTAATCTATGTCTCACTGCCTATTTTTTTTCTAGACTAAACTTAGTGGGTTTTTTTGGGGGGAGGGGTCATGTAGGAGACATTGACCCATCATACAAGATTAAAAGAAAAACTGAAAAATAAGTGAAATCAAAAGCTTTTCAAAAGTTGCAAGTTGACCTGGGGTGATGGTGGTCTAAAATCATATAGAAACTGGTGAGCTGAGGGTTTACCTGAAATTGCTAAGTAAATAAACATGCTCAGAGTATCCAAAATGCTGTGGTGAAAGTTTAGTGGGTAGGTGTTCAGGGAATTATTATATTAAGGACATCCTGGAAAATTAAGTAAAATTTCTGGTCCACTTAAAAAAATATTCTTATTCTGGACATTTATACTCCCCTAGTAAATTGCTCCCTATTACATTGAGGTTAAAACTATGTCATTTTAAGATAAACTTAAGTCCAGAAGCAAATAGGCACTTGGAGATTTCAGGATCCTTCCCTCAACTCTATGCAGCTGTAACTGAAACTTTGGGGGCTATGAATTATCTTCTGAGTCACCTCAATTCACCAGTTTAATAGATGCAAAAGTATGAGCATTTCTAACATGCAGACAGTATTTGAACCACAGTTTATAGCTCAAGGAAAGGATCTGAGCCATTTCCTTTTTTATTTTTTATTTTTTATTTTTTTCTTTTTAATGAAAACTCTGTTCCCTAAACACCGCAAAGGATCAGAGTTCTTGAGGACAGTGGCGGGACTAAGGATGCCTCCCAGCCCCCACAGTTCTTTAATATGGACGATTCCTCCGTCTTTGGTTACGTACTCTGCAATCGAAGTCCCCTTCTCACCAGATTCCCGCTCCTACACATCCCCCACTTCCCTCCTAAACTGCGTAGCAGTCGTTTGGGTGTTATTAGTTATTGACCGGCCTCCCGCAGGTCCTGGAGCGGAGGCGAGGTCCCCATTTCGCGCCTTGCCTCTCTCAGGAAACCACCGCAAGTGAGGGTCGTCGAGGCCCTGCGTTCCCAACTCAAGAAGCGCGAAGAGGGTGGCAGAGTGTGCCGGAGTCCCCAGCCTAGCCTCGGCCGACCCTCGCATGCGGGTGCCCTTGAACCCTTGGCCGCGGACTCGCCTGCGGGGCAGTGCTCTCAGCTCGCAGCGCCCCCTCTCCGCCCCTCGCAGGAGCAATTAGCCCCGCCCAGCCGTAGGCCCCGCCCCCCAGCGCGGGTTTCAAGCTCTTAAAGTTCCTCTTTCTCACCTCAGAGTCTTAGTTTCACCACTTGAACTTGGGACCCACTGCTGCCCTCAGCTCTGAGTCCGGGGCAAGGTAAGACCTGGGGTCTGGCTGGAGCATAGATGTGAGGTTGGCACTATAGAGAAACCTGAGCGAAAGGACAGAAGTCATAGGGACCATTTCACAGCGCAGGAGACCCCAGCTTCGGAGCCGGGAGAAAGTACGCTCCCCTTAAGGGATTCCCGACTCCCACCCTGTGTGCTCAGGGCCCATAGCTTTTGTGAGGACTCTGCGGAGGGCCCCCGGGGCATTTCCCCAGCGTCTCCACAGTCTCATCCCGCTCCCCTGTCCCCACCACTCTTCGGGGCGGTCCAGCGCCGGCTGGGACAGGGCGGTGGCACCCGCTGGACCAGATGGGAGAACAAGACTTTTAGGTCCTCAGGAGTGGCAGAGACGGGGCAGTCGAAGGCATCCACGTGGGGCGGCAGTCACCCCCGCAGGGGAGAACCTCTTACTTCTGAGGTCCCTTGCCCTGCTCCTTCGTAAGGGGCCCAAACCCACTGCAGCCTCCGGCGCGTGTTTCCCTGGCTGGTGCTGGAGGGGGAGGAGCTCCAAATTTGGGGCACTCGGGGCCTGCGCTCTACAGCCCCACCGCAGTCCTCCCTGGTCCCTCGCCCTCCCCTCTGCCGCTCTCCTTCGCGGGCCTCCAGGATCGGGCTGGCACTACACGCGCCGCCTGTGTATCTCCCGCTACTTGGCTGCGCTCCTTGCCAAGGGCCAGGTCACTGCCGTTTGTTGCCCTCAGGGCCTACTTGATCCTTGCTCTTTGGCGAGGGCTTGGACTATTCTTGAGACAAAAAGTATTAGTGAGGGAGAAGGCCCGGAGAAGAGTTGCTGGGCGCTGAGCACCTGAAACGACCCGACTGCAGGCTAGCCCGCGTGCGAAATTGGCGCGCAGGGGTCACCAAATGAGTGTGAAATGGGGAGTAGGCAAGGGTGGAAACTGATAGTGAGGAGGAAATGGACTGACAATAAATTCAGGATGGGCAAAGAGGAGCAGGAACTGCGAGTGAGTGTGCAAACGTGGTGCCAAGAAGGGTGGCGGCTCGATGAGTGTGCACAAAGGCTCGAGTTGTGTGTCTTGGTATGTGGAGTGCGTAACAAGAACGCAGAATCTAGAGAATGGGGTAGGAAGATAGACTCCGCGGAGGGCGCGCTCAGGAGGAGGCAGGACGGTGCTCTCTAAGGGGACGAACCCGGGCTAGCTGAGATGTCTTTTCTCAAGGAACTTTGATGACATTCACTGCGTAGCGCGCCTCTCTGCCTCGAGACTCCGGGCCTCGTGGTCATTGCCAGGGCGATTTGGGACTGGGTAACACTGAGCACTGTGCGACGGAGCTTAAGGGCGGCCTTCCTCTCCCCTGCAGCGCAGAGTGAGTGCTGGAGGCAGATCCTGGGCGCGAGAGGGCGGCATTCGGCGCGCTGGGCATGAACCTGGAGGGTGGTGGCAGCCGAGGTGGAGAGTTCGGCATGAGCTCTGTGAGCTGCGGCAATGGGAAGCTCCGCCAGTGGCTGATCGACCAGATCGACAGCGGCAAGTACCCAGGGCTGGTGTGGGAGAACGAGGAGAAGAGCATCTTCCGCATCCCATGGAAGCACGCGGGCAAGCAGGACTACAACCGCGAGGAGGACGCCGCCCTCTTCAAGGTTACACACACGTGGGGAGCCCGCGGTCGGGATGGGGGAGGGCCCCAGAGAGCCCGACGGATCCTGAATCCACTCTGCGGTGAGCCCAGTCCGTGCTCGATGCGCCCGCTCGGTGGTTCTCAAAGGAAAGGGTACAGGCACAGGACCGACTGGAAGGGGTGGCCCCGGCTGGGCAGGCCAGGCGGCCAGGGAGCATCAGGTGTCCAGGGGCCGGAAGCCCTGAGAGGAGAGAAGTTTCAGCTTCTCTAGTGATTTCAAAAAACTAGAGGACCAGGTCCAGATCCCGAACGTGTGATGCGAGCAGCCTCCAGGGAGTCAGAAGATTCCAGCGGCAGGGAAGCATCTGTTGGCTTGATCAGAGCAGGTCAACCATCTCAGGGCACTGGCTTGAGTGTTCATGGTTGCATTTTTGTGGGTTTCTCTGTTTCCATTGAGCCTCTTTCTGTACCCCTCGATCCTTCCTTGCCTCCTCTGATTAACTTTTGTCTCTCTTCATCTCTCTGTCTCTGTGAGCGCCCATGGGTGTGCTGGAGTCAGTCTGTTTTACTGTCTCTTTCACTCTCTCTGTGTTTGCCTGTTTTCTCGCTCTTTGTCTCTCTCTGAATATTTTCCCCCTCTGGTTCAATCAGTGTCTCTGGGGGGATGAGGTAAGGGGGCTCTCTCTCGTTCCACTTCTCTTTGGGCCCTTCCGTGTTTTTCCCTCTCAGTCTCTGCCTCTGTTTTGCCTGACTCCCTCTTTCCAAGTCTCTCTCTGGAATTTTCTTTAGGTTTCTGTGTCTCTCACATCCCCCCGCCCACAGCCTTTTGGATTTCTCTGTTTCTCTTTCTCCTCTATCCTTCTCCCTCAAGGATCTCTGTTTTGAGACTCTCTGGATCTTCCTGTGTGTGTGTTCCCTTCATGACTGTTTTCCCCTAGAGGAGTTTACCCAATGAACTGTGCATTAGGGCCCATGCCCACCACCTGTGGGCAGAACAGGCATAGGGGACTTCCTCAGGGAATTTGCTCTCAGAATACCTCAGATTGTCTGACCAGAAGTGTTCAATGGGAGAAGCTCATCCCACAGCTCTGTCCCTAGTTACAATCAAATGCGTTTCAGAAACTGGGTGAATAGGTCCTTCTCCAGGGCTCATTTACATCTTACCCACCTATCACGAATACTTAGAGAATGTTCGAACCACTTGTCTTCAATTCAGCAATGATAGAGACCAGTATTGTACATAGAAGGTACCTGGTATGTTTCTGCCCTACATTTTGATTAACAGAGTAAATATGAAGCACTGAAGCATCATACTTTTGTTTAGAAATACAATTCCCAGATTCTTTTTTTAAAGGACCTGTATTTCAACTTTTTTCCTCTTCTTCCTCACAAGGCATGGGCACTCTTTAAAGGGAAATTCAGGGAAGGCATCGACAAGCCAGACCCTCCTACCTGGAAGACACGTTTACGTTGTGCTTTGAACAAAAGCAATGACTTTGAGGAACTGGTTGAGAGAAGCCAGCTGGACATCTCAGATCCCTACAAAGTATACAGGATTGTTCCTGAGGGAGCCAAAAAAGGTGGGACTTCCTGATTTGGGGCCACAGAATATTGGCAGTCAGACAGTGGTAACACCTTAATTTCATTCTGAAGCTCACTTTTCTGTTTTTGTTTTTTCCTAGCCTGCCTACCATCTGCCTCATGTTCAGGCCCAGGAGGCTCATTGTCCAAGTTCTCGGGGTCATTAACTGACATTCTTGTGATATTAGCATAGGGTACTTTCTCAGAGTCCAAGGCTCTACCTGCTTGTGTGCACCTGTCTGCACATGTGTGTTTTCCAGTTAATTCTCCTTAGTTATGGGCCCAATTCCCCAACAAAAAAAATGGAAAACTTATTCAAAGCTTTATCTGTCAGTCTTTCATGATTAACTTTTCGTAGAAGGGAAGCATATATACATCCATGTATTGCTACTATTTATAGAAATAAAAATGTCAACTTTTAAACTGTACTATGATCAGCTGGGCTGCTTATTAAAATTCAGATTCTCTCTGTCCAAGCTTCTGACATTGGGTTAGAGTAGAGCCCAGGAATCGGCATTTTAAACAAACCCTACATGTGACTTCATTTGCAGGATGTTTTGCTGGCGGGGCCCTTTCTATCACACACAGGTGCATTCACACACAGCAAGACCTTGTAGAAATCCAGTTTAATAGAATGAACAAATAATTGCCCAAGGGAATTGCTGAAAAAATGTCTTATTTGTCAACACTACTATGTATTCTAGGAATTAAATCCTCAGATATTTTTCTAAGATTTGATGTTTAGTTATGTCAGTTCCTTTTTTTCACACTGTGCCATTTCCCTTTTGCAAAAACACATAGGAGCAAAGCAGCTCACCCTAGAGGACCCACAGATGACCATGAGCCACCCCTACACCATGACAACGCCTTACACCTCACTCCCAGCTCAGGTATGGTAGAGGGCACAGGGCTTCTAGAAGGGAAGGCTGGGGAAAAATACACAAACAAAAACAGCAAAACGTTTTTTGATCCTAGTCAAACAACCAAACCAAATCCCTGGTCATTGAATGAATGTCCCACTTTCAACCTGGTGTTGCTATCAGTGTTGGTTTTAAGTCAGGGAGGAGTTGGTATGTCTGCCTGTTGGTATAGATTTCTACTACTGATTCTGAAATCTTCTGGGAAACAGACCTATTGTGGAAGTTGAAGATTTTGGAAGTAGTACTTAATATCATGTGAAACCACAGGGCAGATGATCTCTTTAGACTTTTCTGATGTGAATTACAGCTCTGTTGTGTTCACTTTGGTGGGGAAAAAAAGGCTAATTTCCTCACAGTACTTTTGGTGCCAGGTTTAACCATATGATGAAGATTTACATAAATCATTACTTTACAACACTGTCTCCATTGTGCTTTTTTTGATTCTTTATGGCTATTTTTTACCTAGAGTGATGAGCCATTCACTCCAGAGTCTTTCAAATGATAAAATGATTGGGCTGCAGCCAATTAATAGATTGCCTGAGGAGTTTGGGAGGATATGAAAGAATTTACTCCCCTTTCCCAAGGCCAACAAACCATCTTTGCTAATCTGGTTGCTTTCATCTCTTTAGCAGGTTCATAACTACATGATGCCACCACACGACCGGAGTTGGAGGGAGTACGTCCCTGACCAGCCACACCCTGAAATCCCATATCAATGTCCTGTGACATTTGGACCCCGAAGCCACCACTGGCAAGGCCCAGCTTGTGAGAATGGTAAAGATTGTGTACTTGGGCTGTTTCCCGTGGCTGCATCTGACCCAGCAGAGCAACCCTGGCCAAAGGGCCTTGGTCTCTCTGATCTGTCCTTCTGGGCAGAACCACAAGTTTTTTCCCTTATCAGGACTGCTGGGAAAGACTTCACATGTAGGGAAGGAGAGTTTTCTCCATCCTGTGGGATGATAAGGTCCTCAGAGGAAGAATGCCAAGGTTTACTAATGCCGGGCCTCCATGTGCCAGGACCTATGCTTACAACGACCTTATGTGGAATCTTATTTAAACATCACAGAGGTCATTTCAAGTAGCTAAAAGCAGCTCCATTTTTATAGAGGCGAGCTCACAGAATGTGCTCTAGGAGAGTGGAGCTACTCTACTTTAGATCTTCTAACTCCAAAGCCCAACCTTACCCTTAAAATAGGAAATGTCAGATGTCAAATTGCTTATCTATGTTTTTTAAGTTATCTATTCAACACGTTAACATATTTCCTCCTTCTTGAATAATCTTAAGCTTTATTTTTAATCTTTGGCAAAAAAAAATAGTGGATTTTAGCAGTCTTCCCCCCTGGATTGTTTCTTAATGTTGACTGAGGTCCACAAAATTTCGCTGATCTATTTCTGTCTATATATCTGTAAAATGGGTTTACTACAGCTGTGCCCAACCCTTCCCCCTCCACAGGGACCCCAGGAGATTATTGAGCTAGTATATTTCTCTTAAACAATGGTGTTCCCATTGTAGTTGTTCTTGGGACTAGAGGTGATAACAAGAAAAGAATGAATCAATACTATTTAAAAAACATTAAAAGTTTCCACAGGGTATGTAGCGCTGGTTTTGGATCATTCTAGATTAGATGTGGTTCCATGCCTATAGGGGTTCCCCAGACTTCAAGATGAGATCTTTCAACAGAAGCACTAATTAGTTAAGTGAAAAGAAAATTTCAAATAGTATATTTAGTACAGCACAACACATGCTTTTAGAACTCTTGAGTTAGTTATTTAAATAGAAATCATGAGAATGGTCAACACATAGATTCTTTTGTACATTCTAAGACTATTCGGTCAGTTCCCCTTTTTCTAGTTATATTCTAGTCACTGTTGACTTATGGTATTGAAGAAGTACACCATTGTTTAAGGTTTGTATTGAGTAGCATGTTTACAAAAGAACTCTCGGGAATGATTTGCAGCAAAGATTGGTTTTCCATATCATAGTGGGGGAATTTGCAAATATTAAACCTGTTTCTGAAATTCAGACCTATGTCCAGTGCATATGGCTCTACTAAACTAATAATTTCAGTAAAGAGACAATGCCTAGACGTGTGCAAAAAGATGGAATAGGCAGACATATTTTGAAGCATTAGGTGACATTAAGTAATGTGCAAGGTATTAATTGGACTCTTTGGCCTGAGAACTCTGATGGACCTGAGCTCACAGTTCTGCTGTGAACTTGCTGTGTGAACAGGGGCAAATCACTTCATCTCTCTGAATCTCAGTTTTCCTGTTTATCAGTTATGGAGGGATATTGGTCAAAGGGTAAATCTCTCAATTATAAGATGAATACATTCTGGGGATTTAACAGTTGAAAATACTGTATAATATTTGATAATAAAAGTTGTCAAGAGAGTAGGTCTTAAGTGTCTTCAACACACACACACAAAATGGTAATTATGTGTGGTGATAGAGGTATTGACAAAGAAAGGAAGAAAGGGAGGGAGGAAGGAAAGGAAGGAAGGAAGGAAAGGAAGAAGGAAGGAAAGGAAAATTACAGAGGAAAAGTTCAGAGTTTCCTTCCAAAGCTGTGAAAAAGCTCCTTCCTCCTTTGGCTTTTGTTTTTCCCATCAGACTTTCAGCTTGTCTTTACCTGTTGAGAGAGCCAGTGGTCGGCTCTGGAGGGCCAGCCTGTAGCCCTTCACTCCCGGGGTTGGTGCAGGCCTCCCTATGTGTGGACGAACTCTGACTTTTATTTGCAAATACAGGTTGCCAGGTGACAGGAACCTTTTATGCTTGTGCCCCGCCTGAGTCCCAGGCCTCTGGAATCCCCATAGAGCCAAGCATAAGGTCTGCCGAAGCCTTGGCCCTCTCAGGTGAGTGCGGTGTACATCCGAAGGCACCCACAGGTGGCCTGTGTCTGCGGCGCTCACCCTCACTTTTGGGTAGAATTGATGGGGCAGTTGGCGAGCACAACCCTGTGGGCACTCGCTCCTCCAACTGGTGCCTGGATCTGTATGGACACATCTGAACTCTCCACCCTTGTGAATGAGGAACAGCATTAGCAAAGTTAGCACTGAGAAGCCCACAATGATTCTGATTCAATTCTACGTGCTGGTTGAGTCATTTTAAGTTCTCCATTGGCATCTATCTGAATTTCCAAGAATATGCAGACACTCCATTTTCATTTACCTAGGGCCCCTCTTCAGCTAACATCTTCACAATGTAGTATAATTTCTTAGAAAACAGCATCAGGGTTCTCTTTGTGCCGATCACCCTTCCAGATTTAGCCACAAACAAGTCTTTCTCATCAGCACCCTGGGGACATTATTTTTGGCTGCTTTGTGTTCATTGCATTTGTGTGAGTATTGTGGTCTTTCTCCGACCTTTGATATGTTTTGCAAAAGGAAAAAAAAGAGGATTAGATGTGATATTTGAAGTGTCACTTCTAAAAGAATCTTGGCACCTCTATCTTACCTGTTTTTAAGGAAGACACCTCAAGGTATATTAAGCATATATAGTGTTCATATATTTATTTTTTTAGATAATGTGTTAGATTATTTAAGAATGGGATTTGTATTTATTTTAGCAATGAAAAGCTTAAGCTCCTGGATTCTCTTGTGTCCCCCAAACCAACCCTACTTCTTTAAAAATCAGTGATAAAAAATATAAACTCAATTCTCAAGTTATCAGAGACAAGGGTTTTGAGGACCTTTCTTGCTCTGAGGGGAGCTGGATCTTTATGGTTTAGTTCTTTTTGATTCCAAAGTTCTGAATGAAGCCGCTGCCTCCCTTTCTGAGATGCCCCTGAGTGATGGAGGGGAAAAGATTTTTCTGAGCAGAAAGGCTTGTGTTTGTTTTTAGAAACTTTCAGACCCTTTCTTGAGCACCTAAATCTTATGTGAGTGCCTGAAAAGTAGGAAATAAACAGCTATTTATATCACTGACCTCGTGATTTCTGGTGACATTAAATGAAATGAAACCTGCCCTGGAAGTCACCTCTAATGGCCAACGCCCACTCTCATCAGGCTGCACCCCCGTGCTGTTCCCAGCCAGTGTTTACAACAACAGAAATTGAAGACAGTTGTGTGGGTTAAGTCTACAAACCTGCCATTGAAGAATAAGAGGGTTTTGTGGGTTTCTGTTTTGGGCATGAATAATACAGATTAATTGAGTGCACTTATTAGAGAACTGCCATTCCCATTCCTTGTTAAATCCCCTGCAGCTAGTGATGGTAAGCCCTTTTGCATTTCAATTTAAGGGGACTTTTGCAAACCTACTTGTTCCTTTCAGTCTGTGAGTCAGATTTTAAAGAAGGTTCTGAAATGATCAAAATTTCATAAATAAATGCACCTCATTTGATGTTTCAGAAAGCATCATTTTAGAGTTATTTTCAGACTTTAAACACATAACCTAGTAGAATTTCAGCTTTACTCTCATAACATTTCTCTCATTTGATTACTTTCTTTCCACATGAATTAATTTTATTATACAAGTAGTACATACATAGTGTAAAAACTAATTTAAAAAGCAGAAAAACAAAAATGAAAAATAAACATCACATTCCCACCACCCAAAGATCACCACTGTTAGGGCCTTGGTTCTGAGCCTTCTTGAAACTTCAACATATACATATTTTTAACCTAATGACATCATATTGATATTTTAGGGTTGTTTCAAATGTGTGGGCATATTTGCTTTTTTCCTCCTGAAACATTTTACTCTTTTTTTTATTTTTGCTAGTAAAAATTAAACTTAGGGTTTACTTTCTCCAAAATCAAACTGATTGCCATGTCTAAAGATGAATTTTTGTTCAGTGGTACGTGATTTAGTATTTTAGACATCACCACTACCATCATCAAACACACATACACAAAAATGACACAGGAAGTTCTTAATAGTAGTGCTTTCTAATACAAGTCAAACATATTTTGCAGAAAACTAATGAAAGTTTTGCTCCCCCACCCTCCCCAAACCCATGGTCCCATAAATTTGGAAAATGCTGAGTTGGACAACATCAAATTGATTTCCCGGGGGACTTCTCCAGCAGCTCTCACTGTCTGTGAATGTCCAGGAGGGAGAGAAAGGCATGCAGCATGCCTTAGACTTCCTTGACCTTGGAACTTTTTACTTTCTACAGGGCATGTTGGGGTATCAGTGTCCCACCAAATATTCTTTGTTCTGGCTGGTAGTCTGGTATCCTGGTGGGCATGCAATGCTTCTTGGTCCCTTTTGGTACCTTAGCATTGACCCAAAAATGTTCTGTTTGCAGACTGTCGGCTCCACATCTGTTTGTATTACCGGGAAATCCTAGTGAAAGAGTTGACCACAGCCAGCCCCGAAGGCTGTCGGATCTCCCATGGACACACCTATGATGCCAGTAACCTGGACCAGGTCCTCTTCCCCTACCCAGAGGACAATGGTCAGAGGAAAAACATCGAGAAACTGCTGAGCCACCTAGAAAGGGGTGTGGTCCTCTGGATGGCCCCTGATGGGCTTTATGCCAAAAGACTGTGCCAGAGCAGGATCTACTGGGACGGACCCTTGGCACTGTGCAGTGACCGGCCCAACAAACTGGAGAGAGACCAGACCTGCAAGCTATTTGACACACAGCAGTTTTTATCAGGTAATGCACCTAATTATCAATTAGAATTGAGTGCCTCATACCATGAGCCTTACATAAAGAGAATAAAGATGATTATGGCCACAATGGGTCTGCCACAGTGGTCAAAAACAGCACATCACTCCACGCGGACAGAGGTCTTCCTTGTGTTAACCCCTGAATCCACTGGGCACGATCCCAGAACAGGTTCCTTGTTTGTCTCACATCTCACTTCTCCTCTTACCACCTGCTCCTTTCCATCAGCAGAATGGTGTGAAGAGGAGGGAGATTGCTCAGGGGGACTGTGGTTCAGGCTGATGACTCGGAACTTCTGGAATTCCACAAATAGTCACCTGGTAATCAGATCTGTGTTTTATAGACAGTACGATCTCAGCAAACATACATGTTGATGTTTCAGGTCTTTTAAGGTTCTTAGGAAAATTGCAACTGTTAGAAATCTGTCGTTACCATTCTTGGTTATGAGATGTGTCATAGTTATGCAGATGTCCTCCCGCAGGTGGGCCAAGGATGAGTGTGTTGAACTGATTTTTCAAAAGGAAAATTATGAGAAGGCTTAAGCTATCTTTATGATATGGGTGTTTCAAATCATATTTTTCAGAACCAGTAAGTTTTATTTTCCTAGTTTTTATTTCATGACAATTAAATTAGCCCTGGGCTGGCTTTTGTGAAACCGTTGGCTACATTATTGTTGAAACTTCATCCAAAGTGTTCACTTAGCAATTGATATTGGCGGCTGCCTCTTTCTGAGGCAGAAAGCTGTTCTAACCTTCCAGCTAATTGACAATTCTTTCTCTACCTCGCCCTTAACCTATTTTTTTTAAGTGCCCCCTTCAGAAACACCCTATGTCTTTGGGTTTTCTTGTGCCTCTCCTCTCCTGGAATGTGCATCTTAATTCAGTTCCTTTGAAATAAAAATATGAAACACCTCTGCGCTCAGGCACCACTAACATTTGCTCAGCCTTTTGGGTTTAAGTTACCCAAATTTGCTTATGCTCATTCAAATTATCTTCTAGTGCCCCCAAACAAATATCTCCCTAGATGACTAACCCTCCCCCAGAGGTGTGACAAGAAGAAGAGGGAGAACTGAGCCTCTGGTTCCCCAAGGCAGTACCATGGGTGAAAAAGCCACATGGGTTTGTGTGCCCCTCCCTAACTGAGCTGCAGAATTGTCTCCAGGCCAGTGTTGTGACTGTTCTGTCTGTCCTGGGGCTCAGCGTGGAGATCGTGATGGAGTCTTGAAAGTGGCCAAGAGCCTCTTACAGGTGCCCTGTCTGTACCTTCTATTCTGTAGTGGAGTCTGAAAGAGCCTTCCGGGTTTGGATCTCAAAGATTGTGGATCTGGGTCTCTTTGGACCCAGAAGCTACCCCAGGATTAGGGCTTTAATTAAGGAACCTCAGGGAAATGGCACTTGTTTCTCTGAGTTTCTCTTACCATGCATGTGTTAGTAAGGCAGACTCCTCTTATTCTAACTAGGCTATGAATTCTTCTTTGAGTCACAGTGAACTGAGAGGTGGAAACAGGCAAGAAGCAGGCAGGCAGGCATGACGTGCCAGGTACCAGCATCCTCAGACTATGAATTCACTTTCCTAGAATTTAGTATTTATCTATGAGCAAGAGTTGTTTTGTTTTCTTTTTTTTTTCTCCTGTAACCAAGAGCTGTGCTTTTTGTCCACAGCAAACTTATCTTTCAGTGGTCATCAAGGTGCAAGGAGGGACCTGTAAACTTGAAAACTGTAGCAGTGTGGACCAGCGCTGCATAATCACAGAGGTTCTCATGTTATCAAGCATCTGAGGCATGGCTTTTTCAGAGAACTGTACCAACTCGCCATTCTGATTAGTTTGTGTAGGTGTAGCCAGACCTCCGTAGTGTAAATGCCTTTTATACATTCTGACTAAAGTCAGTTAGGTTTGATTTGAATTCTGGAAGAAAAAAAAGAGCAGGAAGTCAAATAGTCCAGTGAGTTAGCTAGAAACTTCTCTTCAGTTGAAGAGAACAGTGGAAATCTTTGCTATCTACCCATTCAGGATTTGCAGACTACTAGGGACAGCCCCCAGAGGCAGAGCTCAAGGGTGCGGATCTGATAAAGATGCAACCGGGTGCTGTTCCACAGAAGTTGTAGCAGAAACTGTGTAAGCACGTTTCTTTTGTGGACATGACATTTGAGTCTAGCGGAAAGAAGAGGAGCAGCTAGAGGCATGCGTTATCTTGAGTGTGGGTGAGGGGTTGAACACATGTTTTCAACAGTGTTCCATTCTCTATTTTGCATCCTTAAGGTAGGAGTGGTGGCTTCAGGATCTGCACATCCACAAATGTGGGGGGCCCCTACGGCTTCATTGCTACCCTTCTCATCTCAAGTCACCCTCTGTCGAGAAGACAGGCAAAAAGTCCGCCCAAAGTCACACAGTTTGGGCCTAATGCCAAGTGGGATGTAGCTGCCCATACTGGCGCTCAGTCTCCAAGATAACATCAAGCATTTTCTTTGGGGCCTGCGTCACATAGAGGTCCTGGGTAACAGATACAGGATTATGAGGGCTGAGCAGTTTTGAAATGAGGTTTTTAAGTAATGGGACAAGTCAGAAAATTCTGATTTTTTTAAGAGAAAATTTCTTTTTCGTATAAATTATTTTGCCTCAACATAACTACTACATATCTCTTCCTTTTTCTTCCTCCTTCACTCCTTTCTGCTACCTTTTGCATCCTCATGGGTCCAATACTGCAAAGCAAGCTTCTTAACCTGCAAGGGGTATTCCACTTGAAGAATCAAGTGAGGCCTGGAGCCCTCTCAGCAAAAGTACACATATGTACATGTACATGCAGTTTTCCATCTGGGATCTACAGGTTAAAAACACCACTTAGAAATAAAGAGTACTCATTCCTACTTTTGTCTTCAGAATCAACATAGAGCTTTTGCTTACTATTTTAACCTGGTATGCTCAGTTATGAGGGTCCTGAGCATGTTTTATTTTTTTTCCTTGTCGGATTTCTCCAGAGTTGCAAGCTTTTGCTCACCATGGCCGACCCCTGCCAAGATTCCAGGTAACTCTGTGTTTCGGGGAGGAGTTTCCAGATCCCCAGAGGCAAAGGAAACTCATCACCGCTCACGTGAGTATTCAGTCACATTTAAATGATTGTTTCCCTATTCTTCGTCAAGAGCAATCTTCTGTTTAAAGACATATCACATGAAAAGTAAATGTCAAGTGACCTGGGACAATAGTAAGGGAGGAATTTTGACCCAGTGAATGATGCAAGGAGTGCAGCCCAGAGACCCTTGTCCTATTCCCAGCCCCAGAAATCTACTCATCAGAAATGAGAGGTAACCTCTAACCCTGAACTCCATGGTTGCACCATTTTTATTTTTCAAGAAAATTGTCATATTCCCATTTTATAAGGATTTAAAAATGATTGATGCTAGAAGTTGTCTTTTAAAATTCTCCACATTTAATATTACTTTTAAAATGCTCTCTGATTTTCATTTGATGGAGGAATTTTTTCCCAAATAGGAAGCTATTTATTGACTTCCATACTTTGTATGTCCTTCAAATGTTTCCCAAATCCTTTTTTATTTCTAGATTTTAAAAAATTATAATTATTGGAAACCAAGAGCCATGTGTTATTTGGAGGCAGCTAAATCTTTCAAGGAATACAAGTATATCAGACCATTGTAATGTTCTGTAGCAGAATTTAAGATAGGTTCAACTGTGTCAAGTAAACATCTTTTTTCACAAAAAAAGAAAAAAGTTTATATAGACAACATTTAGCAGTAATTTGCTGCAGAAAAGAGTTTTGAATACCTAGGACTTCTGAATTTAAAAAATTTACATTGCTATATACCTTCAAGAGTTATGAATGGGCCCAGATAATGAGTAACAAAGGTAAAAAATCATACACAATAATGTAAAAATTCAGGTCATATTTTAGTACTGCTAAGGTGTCTTATTGAAAACTGAAATAAACCACTACCTAATCTTTAACATGCAGTCCTTCTTGATTGTAAAATCAAAAACCAACCCAATAAACAAAAATATAATCCTATATACTTCATGCTTTTCTCATGAATTTGCTCCAATGATTGATATAGTTATTAATATAATCTTGTTAACAACTGGGATTGTTAAATGACTAAACTTGTCATTGATAAATGACATTTAAGAAGCTGATGATAAACTTAGAAATCATCAACCTGATTTTAAGGGTTTTTGGATGCACTTTCTCTCCTATGAGTGAGGCAAAGATGGGTTTCCCAGGCAAGGACCCCTGAAATAACGCTGTATGGTGCAGAAAAGGGACATGCGTGTGTGTACACCCAAGAGTTTCTATTCCTTTTACGATGGATTTAATTTATTCCAGATACTTTATATAAGTTATGCTTAAGTTGCTACATATCAAATAATATAAAGGTTCAATTTAATAGCACAATTGACTGAGAAAGCATTTAGATTTCTAACATGTTGTAAATTCAGGAAGAACTGAAAGTTAAATTTTTTTTGGTGAATGCAATCCACACTAATGACCACTAGATGAATTTGGGATCAATTAAATTTTATTTTCCCACGATAGCAGTTTTGCTGTTGCTTTTGCTTCTTTTTCTTTTCTCTTCGTTAAAGAAACATACAGATTATCTAGATCATCCTGGAATTATAAACTGTTCAGGATGAGCCCCTCGTTCCTGTCAAACTGAAGTTGTAGAAAAGTAAAATTATTGGCCTAAATTACACTAAGTATTACCTCAAATTTCCTTTTAATGTGGTCATTTTTACCTGATTTGTTTCAGACTCGGTTAAATGTAAATTTTCAGCAACAGATGATTTAAAAGTATTATCTTTAACTTAAATTTCAATTGAAACCCAGAATTAAGAAGATTCTGTTTAGGGGTTGGTATATGGAAGGACTAACAAAAATTAATTCTTCAGAAGGCTCCAAGTATAAAATTTTTGAGGTGTTATAACACCTACTTTCAACTTCACTTTACTAAACTCTCTATATATATTTATGGGTTATTTAATGATGACCCAATTGCAGGATAGTAAAAAGAGTATCTTAGTAAGATGGTAAAAAGAATGTCTTAGTAACATGTTCTTAAAATTTCATTAAAGGTTGAACCTCTACTAGCCAGACAACTATATTATTTTGCTCAACAAAACAGTGGACATTTTCTAAGGAGCTATGACTTGCCTGAACACATTAGCAGTCCGGAGGATTATCACAGATCTATTCGCCACTCTTCTATTCAAGAATGAAAACGTCAAGTGATTTCGTTTCATTGTAAATATCTGACTTTAACAACAACAGCTGATTGAATCCCCTCTTTTTCTTTTGATAAACTTGGGAATTGGAGCTTCATTTCAACACTTGAGGAGACTCTCAGCAAGAATATGTGTAGAAAATCAGCTCCATCTAACAGATGAGCTTATTCCAAAAGGAAGAATGACCTTTAGGCTCTTCTGTAGATTGCCATCATTGATGATAACTGTGAAAATTAACTAAAGGTTGTGTTTACATTTACTTAAGTGCTGTATTTTGTTTTATGTGGATTATTTCTTGCTTGAAGACTGAGAAAATTTGGGTTTCAGTATTGACCACTAAGTAGAGTGATGAAAGTGCTTAAGTGTTGTACTATTTCTCAGGGAAGTAAAATCTCCATCTGAGTGCACTCTGCCCACAAAAAAAAAAAAAAAAAAAAAAAAAATGGGTTAACATGTACAGGGGATGTTGTTGTTATAGAAAATGCTTGCTTATGGAAGGAAACAAAAATCCGCAACTGAGGTTGGGCCACAATGCTTCCAGCTCTGGGGTGGCTCATCGCCCCTCTTTGCCTAGGTCTTACCCCAGGGTAGGCTCCTAAGCCCTGCCTTTCACTGCCCTGTTTGCTTTCCCTCTCGGGGTGCCCCTGGAAGCCATTTGGTAGACTCTTGCTATTTTTTTGAACCAAAAAGCATTAGGGCTACCCATGAGTAGTACTTTTTTTTTTTTTAATCCATGTAAAATTGCTATGTAACATTATGTGCGTTTTAGGTGTACAACATTGTAATTTGACATCTGTATGCACTACAAAGTGAGTGATCACCCCCAAAAGTTTAGTTACCATCTTTAATCATGCAATCGAACCCCATCACCCATTTCACTTGCTCTCAACCCCTTTGCTTTCTGGTAACCACCAATCTGTTCCCTCTGTCTAGAAGTTTGGTTTGGTTTTGTTTGTTTGGTTGTTTGTTTTTGTTTTCAGATTCCACATATGAATGAAGTGGTATAGTATATGTTGCTCTCTGTTGAACTTATTTCACTTAGCATGATATCCTCAGGGTTCATCCATGTTGTTGCCAATAACATGATTTCGTCTTTTTTACGGCAAATAATATATCCTTATATATATATATATATATATATATATATATATATATATGCATATCTTTTTTATCTGTTCACTTACTGATGGGCTCTTAGGCTGTTTCCATTTCTTCACTGTTGTAAATAATGCTGCAGTGAACATAGGGAGCATGTATCTTTTCAGATTAGTGTTTTCGTATTCTTCAGATAAACATGAAGAAATGGAATTGCTGGGTTATGTGGTAGTTCTACTCTTAATTTTATGAGGAATCTTCACACAATTTTCTATAGTGGATGCACCAATTTGCATTCCCAGGAAAAAGTGTACAAGGGTTCCCTTTTCTCCACATCCTTACCAATACTTTATATGTCTTGTCTTTTTTATAACAGCCACTCTAACAATGTGAGGTGGTATCTTAGTGTGCTTTGATTTGCAGTTCTCTAATAATTAGTAATGAACATCTTTTCATGTGCCTGTTGGTCATCTATATATCTTCTTTGGAAAAACGTCTGTGCAGATTATCTACCCATTTTTTAAGCCAGGTTTCTCATTTTCGTGTTGTTGAGTTGTCTGAGTTCTTTATGTATTTTGGCTACTAGTCCCTGATCAAATGTATGATTTGCAAATATCTTCTCCCATTTAGTAAGCTGCATTTTCATTTTGATGGTGCTTCCCCTCACTGTGCAGAAGCTTTTTAGTTTGATGTAGTGTCATTTGTTTATTTTTGCTTTCGTTTTCCTTGCTTTTAGAGCCAGATCCACTTGAGTACTACATTTTTATCTGTCAAACAGTCTAGTAATGATTGATTAAGACTTTTTTGTTCTCTTTTTGTCTTATTCTATGGAAATTTTTGCTTAAAATTTTTTTTTCTTAAAGTAAAAAGACAGATTAATAATCCAAGTACAAAAGATGTATTTTTTGAAACTCAATGACATTTCCCCTCTTATCCTGTTTGTTTTGTTTGGCTTTCAGTGAGTTATCCATGACAACACTAAAAAGAAGGAGCCAGTGCTTTTTGAATTGGTGAACTCTGTTAGGAAAGATGATGACAGGATTTCACGAATTGCATAACTGCAGACTCAGTGGGCTGTTTTTGCTTATTTTGTATATTATATGCTTCCTCATACAAATAATGGTTTGACAGGGCCTTAACATTACTGGGCTTTTTCCAAATACATCTTTTTATAGAATCACTAAGATCTCTACTTGCTTAAGTAAACCTGATCACTTATTGGTTGCTTGTTTTTGGAAAAGTATAGATATTTAAACTCTGAGTCAGCAGCCAATATTTCTGTCATACTACAAAATAACTACTATTATTTTCAATATCAGCAGAAGACTTGATAGCTCTCAAATGTATGCCACTCTTATTCTAATGTACATTTTTTAGTTTATTCAACAAATTGTATGTACATCTGCATTAGAGAGATTATAGCATTTATCCAGTTTAGTGAGCAATGAAGCATTGGAAAGTCATATCATTTTTTTCATTTTCAAAAGAAGTTTTTAATGATAAAATAATTCATAGTAACTACAGAAAATGTGAACATTTTCTATTAAGAAGAGCTAATCCTCCTCCCTAGAAGTATCCAAAGGAAGAGTTTGACTTACTCTTCAGACACATTTCACTTTTCTATAAATCTACATAAACTTAAAACATCTCATGGAATCATCTTGCACCCACTTGCATGCAGTGCTCTGTTAACCTAACAACACAGACTTACTTCATTCTTTTTAGAGGCATTCTTGTAGAATTCCACCACAATGTAATCAGTACAGTTTAAGCCTGTAAGGTATTTTATCAGCTAGTCTAAATGACTACGTTTGGACAGCAGATTGTATTTCTCATGAACTGCAGTAATTTATACATCTTATAGATGCAAGGTATTTTGGGGTATATTATCCTAAGGGGTAAATGAAGACATAAAAGGAACCACTGTGACACAGGCCCCGGTGTGTGGCCCTTCACTGCAGAGCATTTAACCCAGAAACTCAGAAAGGCTCTGTGGGGTCTGTCCCAGGGGTGCATCTTCTTAATTCTCCAAGTGGATGCTTGATTTCAATTGCTGTTTGAATTATTTTCTTCCTCTTTCTCCATCTCTCTCTTGTTTAATATTAACAAGCTTTAACATTAGAGTTATATTTTCTGGAAAATGTTGTTGGCCTGGACCACCTCTCTCATTATTACACTCAATTATGTTAACTTTTTTAATTTCTAAGGATCCAGAGTGTGTCTAGTGAATGAAGCAATTACAAAATATTCTGGGTGAAAAATCCTGATAGTTGTCTCAGGACTTTAGAAAGGAATGGCTACTTCATTCCTTGACTTGATAAAATGGGATTAGCAAACTAGATCAAACTAGTTTGTTGTCGATGAAAGACGCTGTAAAAGAGTTTAGGTACCTGTTATGCCAAAAAGCTTTGGATCCAGGGAAACATACGTCTCTCTAAGGTGCATTTCCTTGCCCTATTTCTTGTTCTTGAAGTTTAGTAAAACTGTAGGCATTAATTGATGCCTCTGGAACAGTATAGAGAGCCGGGGTGACCAACTCATTTTAAACCGAAACCTGGGAATCTCCCCTATTCCTGGACAAAACAGGACAATTAGTCACCCTATCGAGAACCCAGCAAGACTACTGTGTTTGAGCTAGGAAGAGACTGCTCTGTTGAGGGAGAGAAATTTAAATCTGACAGTGGAGTGAGGGGCACGACAGTGCGGTTATCACCTAAGCACAGGTGCGTCCAGGTTTGTGTTTAGAAGGTGTGCATTGGGCTAAGGTGTGAACAAGATTTTCTCCCCCTATCACTGCATGGAACCCCCCAGAATAGAAACACCTCTGGGAGTCTTGGTGCAGGTCTTTTAGGTGCTTCTGTCTGAGAAGCTGAACAGTGGACAGGTAGGCATCTCAAGAGAAGGCTTGCTCTTGCACCAGTAAATGTCAAAAATTATTATGGGGGATATCAGTTATTTTTTAGTAAAAATCCAGACACAGTTCAAACCCTCCTTCATTCTTCTTAGATCTCACTTCTCCCCTTTCTCCACAAATGAAAGTTTTTCTGAAAGCCATGGGCTTCTTTAAGGGCTATATTTTTATTATATGTCTCCCTAAATAGTTTGTAGCTCACATGTGGTATGACAGCCTTAATGCAACATTTAGACACATGAACGTTGCATTGGGGCTGTCCTACCTGCTATATTGTTTTGCAGCTTGCTTTGTTCACACCTCCATCTTTGAAATTGCTCCATATTGATGTTTGTGTATCTCATTCATCCCTTGTTAAATGTTGTTGAATAGCTTTTCCATGATGAATGCAGTGAAGGTCAATTTACATGGCATTTATTTCCATTGCTTTAAGAAAAGCGTGCATATGAAGTGTAGCTGAAGTGCAGGAGAGCAGTGAGATGTGGAAGAGACAAGAAAGGCCAAGAGTCCAATCCTCCTCCAAAAGAAACTCACATTTTGCTTTAGACTCTTTGAGGTGGAAGAGATCTCATGGGTAATGGGGTTCACTATCCTGCACTCCCGCTTTATGGGTAGGTAGGATCAGGCAGCTCCCTTGATTCAATCCAATGCTGTGCTGGTTCTGTCTTGTTGCCAAGCCTCCCAGGCAAGGATGTCTTGAGCACTAAGTTGATCATTCCTCAGACAATAGTTGTACATAATCATGTCACAAATTTTGGTGTACATTGCTTGTTAATTTAGATTGATATTTGTGATAATGCAGTGTTTTAGGTAGTTGATAAATAAAGACTTTTTTTAAAATAATGTTATGGGTTGTATGTGTGTATGTTATTAAACACTCATCTTGATAGCATTTTAAATACTTCCTCCTTCTGTTGCTTTTTTTTTTTTTTTTTTTTTTAGCAAGGTTGCTCTGGCAGCCTGCTTCCTTCCTGGTTGTCATATGCGTCCTAAAATCAGATCTCAAAGTGTTTAGCTTGTTTATTAGAAAAAAATGTAAAACTTGTCCTAGAGTTGGGCAGTTCCTCCAGCCCACGGAAAAACATCTAAGGTGAGTAGG